CATAAGTCTGAAATATCTTTCTGTTTCCGTTATCGTTTATTACCTACTATTTATACACAACGCACATCTACCTGCTCGTTCAACTCATATTATTTACCTCATATTATTAACTCATAAATTTTACCTTTCTAAAACGATTCTGTACAGCAGTAATAGCTAAATGTCCTTTTTTCCACTGTTCCAAAATTCAACTGCTTTTCTTTTGTAATCTAAGTTTACATTTCCACCTTCGTTATCTACAATACAAACTTTGTCTTCATAATTATCTTCTTCAGCATCAATATCATACACGTCCACAAATTGTTTTCCATTAGATTCTTTTAGTACTATATACAGAAGTGAAAGAAGATGTCCATCTGCAGATATAATAGGCATAATAGCTATGAGTCATAGAAGATAAAGATTGGATAGTAGATTCGACTTGTTTTGCTCCCACATTAGTTAATGTTCTTCCAGAATGTATTTCGAAATTAAAGCCGCTTTCATCTGCATTATAAATTGATCCTGCACCGATAACATCAATATGTGGTTTAACCTGTCTCACAAATTCCTCTGCGCTTTGACGTATTGTTACATCAGCTGCATGAGAAGATCGCGTTTTAAAACTTGTTATTTTACGTGATACAATGCGATGTGCTTTTTTAAAATTCCATATCCACCAATTTCCTGCTCTAAATGAAGAAAAGTCTATTTGCTCCTTTGCTTGTAATGCCCATTTTCGCAAATCTATGTCGTGAATGATAGATCCTCTATCAATAGATTCTTGGAATTGCGATAGTATATATTCGGCAATAAATACAAGTTTGTCCCTGTTTGACCCTCCGCGCATTACATTTTCTTCCCATCTATGCAATTGCGAAACAGATTTTATCTAGAAGAAAAGAAATTTGATATTTAGAAAATCTAATTCAAAAATAAGAAGACTAACGAACTAACGCAGATAAAGGTAGATAAACGATCGCAGATATGCGATGTAAGTAATGTGTATAAGTCTGAAACATCTTTCTGTTTCCGTTATCGTTTATTACCTACTATTTATACACAACGCACATCTACCTGCTCGTTCAGCTTGTATTATTTTTTTATGTTTGAATTAAATTTTACCTTTCTAAAACGATTCTGTACAGCAGTAATAGCTAAATGTCCTTTTTTTCCACTGTTCCAAAATTCAACTGCTTTTCTTTTGTAATTTAAGTTTACATTTCCACCTTCGTTATCCACAATACAAACTTTGTCTTCATAATTATCTTCTTCAGCATCAATATCATACACGTCCACAAATTGTACATCATGCAGTTCCGACGGATCGTCAAAATCAAGTTCCCATTTGTATTCAATCTCAACATCATCATTTACAGCATTTTTTATTATATCGGAAATGGCATTATGAAGTTCAACTTCATGGCGATTAACAGGTGAGACACCAAAATTTGCAATGTTAAACGTTGTGATTAATAAATTTATAACATTTGCTATATTTATTCTTGGCATTTTAACACAAATTGTTGTGTTATCACCAGCACAAGGAGTTCGTCTCCCGTGAGGAGTTAATTTAAGAAATCATCTCTTGGATTCATTTTATATATAAAACTTTAATTCGGAACTGACAATCAGAATAAATTTCAGTTAACTTGAATCGTATAATAATTGTTCAAATAACGTCAGACTATGAGTGAAACGCGGAAACGTAGTATGTAATTATTTATAATGTATTTTTTTAAACAATTATTCGTTTTTTTTTTACACTAATTGATTTGTCTCATTATTCTGTACATAAAAGTATTACGATTAATATAAAGTATTAAGATTATCGAAAACTAAATATTTTACGAGATATTTTAATTTTTATATCGAAATATGTCAGATTAAAATATAAAATAACTCAAAAAGTACTTGATGAAAAAATACTTTATTATAGTGTTTTGGAAAGCTCTCGACATAAGCTATAAGAATATGCAATAAAAAATGGGGGGTTCCATTTAAGAAAATATTGATCACATTGACTTGGCCTTGAAAAGGTCACTCAAGGTCAAGTTCATATTTTCATCATGTGTCCCCCTCTGAACCCTACAACTTTTGTATAAAACATTTTTTTCCATCTTGCTTACTTTACGAGATATTTGCGTGCGTTGATTAAAATGACTCACCCTGTATATATATATACAGAGTGTCCTAGACCACCCGTACACTCCTTTTCATTCAAAAACTAAGCATTTTAGAGAAAAGCGTTGTAACAAGCCGCTTTCGCGAGGCGGGCGACGGATAACTCGGTCGGGATCCTGGGTTCGGGATGGCGGAATCGGGAATGTATCGGCCGACGAGGAATCCCGTCGGTGGCAGAGAACTCCCTGCCACTAGAATAATGCCGATACACGTGGTGGACGGGAAGCTAGCGAGGGGCCGAGAAGTCCCGGCGGGGTCGAGTACGCCCGATCCCGTGTACCTCTATAACATACTTTTTCTTAAAAAAAATTATTTTTTTATATTAATTGATTTGTCTCATTATTCTGTACATAAAAGTATTAAGGTAAGGTTACCGAAAACTAGATATTTTATGAGATATTTTATTTTTTATATCAAAATATTTCAGATTAAGATATAAAATAACTCAAAAAGTACTTAATAAAAAAATACTTTATTATAGTGTTTTGGAAAGCTCTCGACATAAGCTATAAGAATATGCAATAAAAAATAGGGGATTCCATTTAAGAAATTAAAGGTGTCCTTGACTCGATCTTAACGATGCCATCCAAGGTCAAATCAATGACACCATCTTATGTTCCCCTCAAAACCATACAATTTTTGTTCAAAACGTTTTTCTCTAAAATCCTTAGTTTTTGAAAGAAAAGAGGTGTACGGGTGGTCTAAGACCCTGTATTTATACGCGTCGTAATTCCCGGGTCCGGATTTATTGTAAACTTCATACTGAAGAAATATATTTTTATACGCCAAAATTATCGTCTCCCGTTATTACTCGCGACGATTCCGACTAGTGCCTTCCTCTCTTCCGTCGTTTGCCGTCGCGCACCAGAGAGTTGTTCGTGGTGGAGGAGCGTCATTACAAGGAAGGGAGACGGACCGTGGGACAAGGAGCAGCCGATATCGGTAGCCAAATCGTCGAAGAAACCGCGGAGCGAGCCGGCGTCATACCCGGGTTGCAATCCTGCCATTGTGAGCGGACAGCCCTACGTCCTCAGAGCTCGGACTAAGAAGCTACCACATCCTGGTTGCAATCCTGCCATTGCGAGCGGACAGCCAAACGTCCTCGGAACTTGGACCGAAAGCTACCACACTCTGGTTGCAATCCTGCCATTGCGAGCGGACAGCCAATTATCCTTGCCGCTTGTTGGTCAAAGCGTGCTGGCGACCGTGAATCTAAAACAGGTGAGAGAGCCTTTATTTGGAGCGTACTCGCTTATTTCTTACGTCTTTGACGATTATTACGCTTGGCCGATATTTGTCCAGTCACAACCTTGCAACCGGATGTTGCTGCTGATTCCCAGGGGAGCAACCAGCCTGGACCGGGGCATAAGCTAGAGGACCAGCAGACTGCCGGTGCGTGACACAAGGCGACCAAGTGACTCAGCGGAGTCACGTTACAAACATTGCGCTGTGATAGATAGACTTTAGTGCAATCTGCGTGTCGCTAGTTATAAGTTTTGTGTTTAGTTGAAATACGAGACTCAAGATCAAGAGTATTAAGTCGAGTCATTGCATTAGATGTTAAAAAGAATGCCAACGTGGCATACAGTCGACTTACAATTAGACAAAGTTGCTTCTAAAGATCTTAGAATCATTATATTACATTTTATGTAATGCCAACGAAAAGGCATACAGTCGACTTACAATTAGACAAAGTAGCTTCTAGGGATCTTAGAATCATTATATTACATTTTGTGTAGTGTCAACGAGGCATACAGTCGACTTATAATTGGACAAAGTAGTCGATATTGAACTTGAGTACTCTGTTATGTGTGAATTATGTTTGGCGAGTCTTGAGATTTAATGTTTTGTTTAGAAACACTATATAGCATTATAAAATGCCGATAAGGCATATAATTGTTATTCAAATAGATAAATTAATCTATGATATATTGATCTCGAGAACTCTGTTAAATGTGTGAAATGTATGAATTTTATCATTTTGAAAGTTTGCGAGTCTTAAGATCACAGTTTTATAATGAAATATAATTCTTATGAGTTATTGAGACATGCAGGGGAATAAAGTAATTGTTAGAGGATCTTAAGCACTCATTCAAGTATGAAAAGTGAGAATGATATCTGTTATTTGTAAAGTAAGCGTAAAGCCTAACCAGAGAAAGCTTTTATGCGAATGATAACTTATGAGGAACGTGACAGGTGCTATCCTGACATTAACAGAACCTGACACGCGAAGTCTTTTATTGGCTATATTATTTTGCAAAGAGATATTATATTATATATTTATATATTCTATTGTTGCGTGAAATACAGAAACAATCCTGGATCCTTTACAATCCTGGGGGCCACTGAGACTACTTGTCGACGCATCTGTCGAAATTTGGAGGACCCTGGCATTAGGAGTAACAACGGTAAGCAGTAGATGAAAAGAAAAATCATCTCCAACCTCATACAAAGTTGAACGCCATTGAATTAGATATTTGGGTCAACTTTGCGGTGAGGGGGTAAATCCTGTATAGGTTAGAGTTACCATCCGAGGTTAAACTACCTTACCATTAGGGTAAATTGCGTCGGTAATTACTGTAACGGTAAATTAGATTCCGGTAAATATTGTATCGGTTAAGGTCGATAAGGTAAATATTGTATCGGTAATTCATGCGCCGTTTTTTGTAAATCCGACCGTGCGACTGCGCAAGAACGCGGAACGTTCTAGAAGATTCTAGAATGTTCCAGAACACTCTCGAAGGTTCGACACACCTGGTGGGGGAATGGAATATTCCGTAAAGTAACGACGCGTGTGTGTGTCTAACTTTCGGGGGTAATTCGAGTGTGGTGGGAGTTACGCCGACTCCCACGTCCGTACATTAGGACGAGAACTCCTGGTCAGTCTGAGCCGATACGTAGACACGGCCAGTCGGTCGTTACCGGGTCGTGATCGCGATCGGTGGACAAAATAACCCGAGTCCGCTGCACCCGCGCAATTTATTAACTTTGTCTCAGCGATCAGGCCGAAACTATCCGTTCGCGGTGATACAAAGTTCCGGCAACTTCGTGACAAGTTAGCGCGTAAATTGTAAAAGTCCGAGCGCTCGTCATACTTAGGTTGCAATCCTGCCATAGCGAGCGGACGGCCAATAAATTATCGTCGTAATGACGCAACGAGGGATATTTATTGTTAAGCCTGCGTTGTAATTCCCGCGGTTAACATTGTGCTTGTTGCAATTCCCGCGTACGGATCTTTTTGTATTTCCGCTCAACGAAGCGAGTTTGTACTTCGTAATGAAGAAATAAATATATTTTCATACGCCAAAATTCCGTCTCTCTTGCAATTACTCGCGACGAATCCGACAAGGGCCCAGTTCTCACCTGTCGTTCACCGACGTGCACCAAAGAGATTGTGTGCGAAGGTCGAGCGACTTAACCAAGGAGGGAAACAGAACGTGGATCGAGGAGTAGCCGTCTGGGGAGTAATGCAGCCTTCATCGTGGAGGAACTACATCCGACCAGGGTATCCAAATCGTCGAGGAACGTGAGGAGCGGAACGGCCATTTGCCGGCTGATTCCTGCCACGAAGAGCGGACAGTTTCTGGGATCCCCGGAGCTTGGATGGAAAGCTGTCCAAAACTTGGTTGATTCCTGCCAGTACGAGCGGACAACCCTTCTTCCTTGCCGTTGATGGAGAAAACGGAAACCCACGCTGAATCGAGCCATTGCGAGCAGACAGCGCCTTTTCCTTGCCGTTGATGGAGACAACGGAAATCCACGCTGAATCGAGCCATTGCGAGCAGACAGCGTTTCCTTGCCATTTATGGTGAAAACGTGCTGGCGACCGTGAAACAGAGGTAAGAGAACCTAGTTTCTGAAACATATTCGCTTCTAATTGCATATTTAATGCAGTGGCCGTGATGTGTAACCGTATTATCCTTTTCACTGCCTAATAGCGTGAAATGTCGCGTTGCTAGCGAAATATTTATTGTTCCATCTAGTGTGAGAACTCTATCTTTTATATAAAGCAGTGCTCGGAGATAGTTGCCTTTTTCGGGCCGATTCCGTGGCTCACGCCTATTGCCCCCCACTCACCGCTGGTGCGTTAGCGACGAGTCCCCCACTCACCGCTCGTGCGTTAGCGACGAGTCGCCAGATACGCGTAACTAAGGAGCGCGACGTTTTGTCTCAGGAGCGTCCGTATATAAGAATGTCCAAATATAATAGTAAGACAATACTTTTCTAAATGCACGGCGAAAATTCTCAAAATTAAAAGTTTTTCTTCAATATTTTATATTTCATTGATATAACATATTGAAGAAAAACTTTTATTTATAGAAAAGTATTGTCTTATAGTAGTGATACTATGCGGATTCTAAGCCAGGGGCTCTGAGGGGGGTGAGGGGCGAGGGGGGAAATCAGGACAAAGGGGGGTGACGTCACGGGGGGGGTT